CAGCTCAACGTGGTGGCACAGGCGAATCTGGATCTAAAACACAAAGTTGACGAGCTGGAGAGACTCGTACACTCGCACGCGGCGGCGGCGGCCGCGGCAGCGGCTCTACCGCCGCCGCTGCCGGCGCCGCCGCCAGTGGCGGCGGTTGCTGTTGCGGCGGCTGCCGGGTCGTCCGCGGAAGGCTAGCGGCAATCCGCCGGGACCCCGCTGCGGCCCACCCCCGCCGGGGGGGGAAGGGCAGCCTCAGCCTCAGCCTCCTGCAGTGGCCGATGGGCACTAATGAGGGGGATGAGGAGGTGGGAATTCTGTGCAGCAGCAGCAGGTTAAGCTGAATGAGCAAGTGGGTCGCTACGTCCAAAGCACCAACTACCAACTGCCAACTGCCACGGGAGTCTGGAGGAGCGGGAGACGACGGGTGTGGCGACGATGGGCAGCTGAGCGTTGCCGGCGCTAGCAGCAACAGCAACAACAGCAAGAGCAGCAAGAACAGCAGCAAGAGCGGCACAAATGTGACGCCAGCAGCAGTAACAGCAGCAGTAAGAATCATAACAGCATGGACACAGCAATTGTAGTAAGGGTGGGAGTGCAGCTGTACGGCGGGTATTGTACGGGGTGACGTTATGGGTTGGGGAATGGGGAGAGATCGGGGGAGGGGGGGGGTTGCGCGAGGTATAGGGGCGTGTGAAGGGCCACAGAGGCGGTGAGTCATATCTCCGATGACCCGGGCGCCAGCTGGTGGTGGTGGTGGTAGAGTGGTGGAAGTCTGTATGCATGTATGTATGCGTGGTGAAGGCTAGCGGGGCCAGAAGCAAAAGCCGTGCACGTGTCTGTATGTGCGTGAGTGTTGGCGCTGATGTTTAGATGTGTGATAGTGGTACGAATGTACGAATGGGTTGTTAGGGTTGCTAGGGTTTTCCTCCAGTGCCTGGTGTCCATCCCCTCTTCCCCTGATTACGGAAGGTGGTGGTGGTGGTGGTGCTGCTTCCTCCCCGCTTGCCCAACCTCCCTACCTGGCGATGCGGCAAGTTTTGCCTTGACTATCTGTCTGCCTGTCTGTCTGTCTGTCTGTCATACTCGTTACCGCCGCAAGGGCGCCGCACCAGACATTCAGTTTGTTGGTTGGTTCGTCTGTCCGTAAATCTGTCCGAAACATTATCCACAGATTTTTTCAAATGAGTCACAGGTGTGACACGGGGAACCTTGTGTGTCCTTCGTACGAGCCGTGATATGGGCGTGATACGACGTCCGTACGGCGTCTATGGACACCGTTACGGAGTTGCATACGGCTCCAACGGGAACGGCTGCGGTGCGGGTTTCGTTTCTGATGCGGGGGAGTTGCTGCACTCGGCCACCCTCACGTATCGCAGCATATCAGCATATTCACTGTACCAAACACCACACACACACGCACGCGATGTACTGTCTATATGTATATCTGTCTTGCCTTGCTCTAACTTGCTTGGGGCTCGTACACTCGTAAACGTATATTGGCCCTTCAAATGCATGGAAACATGAAATGAACCTTCTTCCTCTCCACCTCTCCTCCCCCACCTCTCCTCCTCCACCTCTCCTCCCCCACCTCTCCTCTTCCACCCGTCTTCTTTCCCCCTTCCTTTTTCCCGTTGGATTCACAGATAGATAGACAGACGGACAGACAGACAGACTGTTAGGAAAACGGACCGGCAAATTCTCTGACAGCTCCCTCTGGTTGCGTTTAATTTTTGGAGGGCTGGTGGACAGAGAGACAGACAGACACACAGACCTATGGACAAGCTATTTCTTGAACACTTGATTCGCTTCCGCGGCCACGTTGATGGGGGTCTGGGAGGTAGATTTGGCCACTGGTGGGATTGGATTGGTTTCCTTCAGAGTAATAAGTGGTGGAGGGATTGTGGCCCCCTGCTGCGTCGTCCCCCCATCCCGCCAGCCCCGTCCCCCCACCCACGCAGCTGCCCTCCCTGGTAGCTGTGATGGTGTTCGCCGGGCCGCGTCCTGGGGGGTTGATGGGGGGGGGGCCACATGACGAACAATGACGACGGCGACGACGACGCAGCTGATGTGGCAAAAAGTACTTTGGTACTTTTCCTGTTGAATGCGAAGTCCGGAATATAACAACCGTTACACGATTCCTAACTTTAGCTGCTGCTGGGGGAGCTGCTGTGGGAGCTGCTGGGGGTCTTAGGGTTTGAATCGCAGGTTTTGAAGCGGAAAAAGCCCTAGGGTTGGGGTCCTAGGGGTCAGTGGGCCTTTGGAGTCAGTGCGGCGGTAGCGGCGGCGGCGGCAGCGGCGGCCAAAGGATGAAGAACCGCGAGTGAGACCGTGAGTGGGACACGACGTTACGCCGGTTGTTCAGTTCAGAGCTAAAAGAGTGCGGAAGGAGGGTTGTTGGGGAAATGTGGGGGGGAAGGGGATATGCGCGAGGAGGCACGGTTTCCACGAATTGACGGTGATGATGGTGACGATTGATAGTGGTGGTGATGGTGATGCCGGTCTCGTGTTCCAGTCAACGGGTTCGGGTGCTGTCGATCAAAATGCTCTGTCACAGTGGTGGTGATGCCTCTTCTTCTTGCTCTTTCGTCAGTGCCTTGTGGGTTTCCTTTTTAGCGGTTTGACAGTTGGTTCCGGTCGGTTAGCTGTCAGTTAGCTGGTCATTCGCTGTGTTGTAGTCTTTCCGCGGTTGGTCGGGTACCTGGGTTACATGCTGTCGATTCTGTCTTCTGCTGCTACTGCTGCATCAGCTGCTACTGCTTAGATGTTGCCTTGGTGGGTTTTGTTCAATCGCTGTATTTGGTGCTTAGTGGTGTGGCAGGTCGGATTGCGTCTTGTGGCAACTGAACGTATGTATGTATGTGAAGAGGGGGAGGATGGAGGGAGAGGATGGGAGACGCGGCGAGGGCTGTGCCGACAGGTTCTCTCTGTCTCCCAGAAAGAGAGCCGCTGTCCTCTGCGCCAAGGACGTGTATGTGTGGTCCTTGAGGTTGGGGTGGTGGTGCTGGTGGTGGTGTGTCTACAGCTGCCACATAATACCACTTCTGCTCTACCCTGATGTCCTGAGCCATTGCTGCGACAACCGTGTGTACTGTACTGCTTGTTGCTGCTGGTGGTGGTGGTGGCGGTGCTGGTGGTAGTGCTGGTGCTGGTAATGTGGCAGAAAGTCCATTGTAGTTGTCGTTGTCGTTGCTGCTACAGGGGGGTGCCTGAGAAGGCCGTCTCTTTGGCGGCTTCCCGTTTGGGGCCTTCTTTCCTTCGGGACCACCCTTGCGTTGAGTTCCGTGGCTGATGTTGGGCAGCTGACGTTGTCATGCAGCACTTACGGCAATACGGCATCATGATGTACGGGGTCGACGTACAAAGAGGATGCATGACGACGGTACGCACATGACACGGCGGTGTGATGGTGGTCCCTGCATGAATATGTTACAAGGAATGCATGTACGCGTTGAGAGGAACTTGAAGGCCCGTCTGTCAGTGTATGTAATACATAGATGCAATGGCGCGTGCGTGTGTGCATGTGCTGTGCGTGTACGTTTATAGGAGATGGGGATGGTGGGTAGGTCTGCAAGGGATCATTGGGATGTCGCTATGGGATCATTGTTTAAGTGCGTGTTCTGCATGTTGGGGGGAGGAGGCAAAAGGCGGTGATGATGGTGGTGATGGTGGTGATGATGATGATGGTAATCAAAGCTTTTATGTTGTTTTGGTGGCGACAGTTGGCTGTTTTGGGATCCTCAAAAGGAAAGGCGTTTCGGCGTGCTAATATGCCAATTTATACTTGATAGTCATAAATGATGTTTGCGAATGCGGGTTCGGCCTAATAAGCCCTTTGCACGCGAGTGAGGAGATACTCCCAGGCCTCCCGATGCGGGGGGAAGGGAGTGGGTAATGGGGATTGCGGGGGATGGGTTGAGATGTGTGGACAAGCAATAACGGCATGGATGGCTGGGGGTTAAGTGTGCGGGATGGGGTGGGGTTGTGACCAGGGGATAAAGAGAAGTGGGTGGGCGGGTGGGCAATTTGGGGTTGGATGATCAGGCGCCAACGTCGCCGTTGTTTGGTTTATTGGTTGGTGGGTTTAGGGTTTTAGGGCTTGTGGGACGTGGTTTCGGTGGTTTCGTACGGCAGGTTGGTTGGCGCTGTGGCTGTTCATGGCCGGGTGATTATTGTTGGATCTGTTGGCTTCGGTCGGTGTGTTAGTTAAGACGGGTGACCTTTTTGTGAGTGGAGGTTTTGGCTGGTAAGACAACCGGCATTTTGGGACGTGTTTGAAAGGATGATGTGTTTTGTTGTGGGGGGAGAAGAGGGGTAAAGGAGAGGCGAAAGCGAGGTGTGGAAGTTGTGTGGAGGGGGACGGCGGGATAAGGTATGTGTGTGTGTGTGTGTGTAAAGTTATGTCGTATCTCTGTTGCGCAGGTCCAAGATGAAAAGGTATTTAATATCCATACGTTCTGCCGACGCGTGCATGTGTGCGCGTCTGTACACGTTGGGTTGGGAGGTGCCTGTCAGCCTGCACCAACCAGGCCGTGACTAAGCAGTAGCATATTGGTAGCGAAACGTCGTGGCAATTGCATGCAAGGACAGTATCACCTCATCCCGCATAGTACGACCACCAGGCAATGTTCATGTCCGACCGTGTGCTGTACGGCACCCGACGACTATGCGCCCGGGGCTTCTTAGCCGGGCATATAGTCAATCGGTGTTGATTACGTTATGCGGTAAAAACACAGCCGAGGGGCCTAAGCCCCTGGCGTAAGGACGCTCTCCCCATCGTAATCCGTTTAGATTTCACGGCACAAAACGAGCACTTCGGGCTTGAATCGACAGCATGATGCCCTTCAAGCAAAAGAACTAAACAACCTCGCCTCCCTCTTCCTCCAACCTGGGAAAGGTTTATTCATTGCTACACAACTACACTATAAAATAGGGCCCTGTACGGCTGCGCATGTCAAAATCAAAACACGGCTGCATTGGCAGACAGAACAGACAACACACATCCGATGGAAAAAAAACACTCGCTACGTGTCGCTCGTGTGCGAATTCGAGTTCAGTCAGGTTCGAACATCGGCAATCGTCAGCATCGCAACTTCAGCGCGTAGCTGAAGCCACCGTTTGAAGGAGCCAGTCAGCATGTACAGCGGTAAATACATTCAAGAGGGACGAAAAGCAACCTCCGTCGGTGAAGGACTGACTGAGAGCCTAAGAGTCTACCTAGTGAGGGTTGGAGCTCCTCGACGCCGCGGCGCCCAAGGTCCCCACCTGGTCCCCTACGCCGACTAAAACATCTGGCCTGTTTAGGTCAAGTCCATTCAAATACACATGGCCTTCGTGCCAAAATGTTTATAGCAGTCTAAGTCTCGTTCATTGTCGTACCATATGCTCCTAGAGTTGAGAAAGTCTGCGTTCTAGAAATGCAACAAAGAATGGTGTCTCCTAGCAGTGCTGCTAATCCTTCGAATGCCGTCCGACTGAGGTTTAGGAGGTTTTCCACGGGGCGCGTGGATGGTGCCAATGCCGCAAACCCACACGCCGTACAACTGGCGTGCGCACGGAGCTGGCAGCAGGGGCCCAACCTCGCCGCCTAATGGATACAAATCCCCTGAAACATTTGGGGGCCCGAACTCCTAATGATTTACGGCTAGAAATTCCCACCTTGGCCTTTGGATGACGGGAAAATCCAAGGTTGTTCTCCCTGAACGAGAACACCCCTCTGGACGTCATCAGCACTTGCAGCTCCTGGCCACCGGTGGCAAGTCTCCCAAGCAAAAACCCGTACAGGGCGAATCCACGTCTCCTCGCCATCTCTTTCCTTTCCTCGCCACGTCTTCATGGCGCACACACGCTCTGTCGTACACGGCTGGTACACCAGCCCCACACCTCCCACCCAATCACCCGCGACGTGACCACGTCAACCCCCTCAGGTCCCGCCGCACTGTCACTGCCGTCGTCGTCACCACCACCACCACCACCACCGCTGCCGCTGCCGTTTCCACTGCCGCCGCAAACGCGCTTCAGCTGGTCCCCAAGCTCTGCGGGAAAATCCTTTTGCAGCTGCCGCCAGCCAGCAGAGCAGCCACGCGCAGAAGCTTCCAGAAGGTCCGTCCGCGACCGTGGCAGCCGAACCCACACCGGCAGGCGTTTGGAAGGCCACGCCTTATGGGCGGTAAAGCCCAGATCGTCTCGAGCAATGGCAAATGTGCTGCTCATAGGGAGCCTCCGGGACGTGGGATCCAGATGGGGGGTCCCGGGCTCGGTCTCGGGCTGCTCGTCATCGTCATGCAGTGCTGCGCACGTGTGGGTGCGGGCGTGGGTACGTGTGTAGCTGCCTGCCGAGTTCGGACACCTCCGCAAGAAACTGGAGGTGGAGTCCTCCAAGGTGCTATTTGACAAGATCGAGGAAAGGGGAAAGGGATGAATTGCTTGTCGTTGGCGCACAAGCGGTTCTGTCCAGCACTGGGGATGGCAATGATGATGACGATGAGAGCAATGGCGATTAGCAGCAGGGGTACTGACATCGTCGTCGTTGCCAGGCTTGGCCGCCGCAACCTCTGCCAGCGCCTTCGTTTCCCTTTGCCCTACGTCCGGGGCGGCCGCTTCCACCACCACCACCGCCGGCCCCGTCACCGTCACCGCCGCGCCTGTCTTCATCAGTGACGTCGCCTTGGTCACCGTCACCACTGTCTCCCCGTCGAGAAACCGCACCGGCTCAACTTCCGCCTCCGCCTCTGTCATCGTCTTCACCAGCACCCCAGTTTTCTCAACCTCCTCCCCCCCCTCGTCCTCCTCTCCGTCCTGCTCCTCCCTCTCACGTCGCCCCAGAAGCTGAAATGCCGCTACCAGCCCCCTCCTCGCCACCATGAACTGGTTTCCTCCCTTCTCCTCAGACTCCTCCTCGAACTCGGGCACGTCAATGGGGTAAGTTATGACCACCGGATGAGACGACACCTCAGGATGATGGTGCCGGTGTTGAACTTGTGTAGTGCAGAGCAGCTCGCCAGAAGGGGCAGTAGCAGCGTATGGCTGCGCAGGCATATCACAGAGGCCCTGAACAGTACATGCAGAACAACACAACACAACACCGTGTAGCGCAAGTGCACCGCAGAACAGAAGCGGAGCGCGTTCCTTTAATTAGGGACGAAATTGAGGAAGCACGAGTTCCAGAGCCACGTTTCTGGCGTACACTGGATCACGCCTGCGTCTCGTTCCGCGCTAAGTGAAAAGGAACGAAAGGGAAATCAAAATCATATTCCGGCTACGGCATAGCAGCTCCTAGCTCGTTTGCAATGTCGAGAGCCAGCAGCCCATCTGAAAGTTTTACAGTTATCAATTTGGATGCTGCCAGGGTTGCCAATATGTCCATCCAAATGGAACACAACTCCATCCGATGATATGGCATGAAAAGGCATGTTGCGAAGGTGGACCAGCAACCCCCGATGCCCTGGCCTGTCTGTCTGTTCGTGGTTCTGCTGCCGTCCATTGTTCGCCCGCGCCAGATCCCCCTCCTTCCACCTCACCTGCTTTACAACGACGCAAGATTCCGTGCAGGGACGAGCGGCTTGGTCGGCTTGCATGTGCAATCCGGCAGCGGAACTTGAGTCAACTGCTCGGCCTGCGTTTGCAACGACACGTGGTCCGGTGAGGGAGGGAGGAAAGATGACCAGGTTAGCAAAGAATACGCTGGGTATAGGATCAGAATAGGAAAAGAGATAGGAAGAGGATGAGTTGGAAGCAACGGGGTTCATTGGCAAAGAGGAGGTGGCCTGGCCACGCCAGGTCAGGCAGCCGATGGCCACCTGGCTACCCACGACGGCCTTCCTGCAGATGGGCATACGGTTTAATCTCAGCGTTTACATCGCCTTGTCTACTGGAGGCAACGGATTCGGGGTCGTTGGGTGCTTCAGTGCTTCGCGCAGCGGGTCGTGCGCTCGCACTGCACAGTCCACATTCTACAGAGCGCAGCATCGAACTTTGGCCGACAACCTCCAACCGCTTCCTACGTCAACTGGGATGGGCTTGGCAATCTTTAAAATTAATGTTGGACGGCATTAGCGCACGCAAAGATTGGCGACGTTAGTGCCTGCCCGGGTCGGTGCGCCGTTTAAAGATTCACAGACTGCCAGTGGAACGTGAAGGAGCGGATCACCATAAAAGCTGCCAAAGAATCACAATTTAGTAATTTGGCAATGAGGTAGCTGCGTGACACAAGATTGCGCATCACCAGGATGGAAAACTAATTAGTCCAGTACCGTAGTCCAGTATCTGTTTCGTTCCAGACAGATAAGCACAAACACGTGAATAGCCATGTCTACCATATGTCACCTGCAAAAAAACTGTTCGGGTGTACCTCTGCTCCTTGCGTTCTGCAAAGTCTGACGTTAACTGACAGTTGTTTCTACTGCTACTGCTACACCAATCCACAATCACGGATGATATGCACCAAACATGTTCAGACGCAATTGGGCAAAAATAATGCCCGGAAAAGAGTCTGTGTCTGGGATACGAGACCCACATGGTCGATTGGAACCGGATTCTCGTCGCAAGCCAAACTCACCCAGAAAGCTGCGCACGCCTCTAATGACGTTAAGTATGCCTTGAGCCAACATGCAAATAGTCGTCTATCCAGTTTGTATGCAGCTTCCGGACACCGGACTACTGCGTGCCGTTAAAATTGTCTTGTCTCGACCTTGAACTCAATAACGTGGGCTATCGTTTGGCACTACACTAGTAGTGCTGCAGCCTAGAAAGTCCATGTTCATGTTGTGAGACAGGCTGCTGCCGCAGAATGGGGTGACGTTAAGGACGTCACTACGGCCAGCCGGTTTATTCACTTACGAGGATTTCATCGACTGGTTCTTGTGCGCATTATAGCCATACGAAGGTAAAAGGTAACTTAACGGGTGTACTAGGCGGTAGATAAAACCGCACAGCTAGAGTTTAAAGTCAATTACGTAATGCAATTCTCCTTAATTGAACCGTTACTTGTTGCATGCCCGCGCACGTCCCGGGGGCCCGAACCTGAATTAATAACACCTTCCCACTAAGCACCTTCCAACATCCGCAGTTGTATCTTCCATTCTCTATCCATCCTTTGCCTGCTATATCTCCTATGCAATCTGCATATTCTCCTGGCATACGCCTTTCTTGCTTCTTCTAAGGAGATATCCTATCCACTTCACCGCCCCTTTCACGCGGATTGCTTCCCCTTTACCCTGTCCCTTCACCCCGCACGCGCTCCCTCGGCTGTACCTCCGTAGACCTCGATCATTTCCGGAGTCGGGTCAACAGGCAAATCCGCGTTACCACGCTGTCGCTGGCGGCTGTTGCATTTCCTTTCCTGCAAAAAACTACGCCTACAGCCCCCTTTTTTGATGGCGTAATCCTGTACAAGCCAGGAATCGCTCATCGATCCGTTCGCATCTGGGTCGCTCTCAGCCAAGTCCATTGTCCTCTTTGTTCGTCCTTACTTTGTCCGGACGTCGTTCATACGTCCGCAGCGATGCAGAGCTGCCCAAGAAATCGTGTTACAGTGAAGTCCATTTCCTGTTGAGTCAACTGATCGAATCCAGTTCAGCTCTCCTGCCCGCGGTAACATGGGCACTATATGTGTGATGCGAATTCTTCCTTTCGCCCGCCGTCCCCTCACACCCTAGCTCTCCCTCGGAATCCTTGCCTTTATTGAAGCTTCTGTACAGCTCCTCGCTCGAGAGACGCGAAAAGTCGAACTCAAAGGCCGCCTTGGCTTCCTCCTTGTACCTTGTCCAGATGTTGCATCTCGCCGGCAAACCGGAGACCGTGTCCACATCGCGCATTGAAGATGCAGTTCGCATAAACGTCTGCTTCATGCATATCTTTTTACTGCTATAGGTTACGCCAGCGAGCTGTAACCTAAGACGAAGCGAGTCTTTCCAAAATCAGTGCAACGGAGAACCAAGCAAACGTGCAGCTATGCGTTTAAAACGGCTAAGACACGTAAAAGGGAAGGCGCGGTGTAACTACTTCAGGAGCTTCACTTGTCGTTTTTTAAATTTCAGTTTGTATCCAGAAGGACCAATCACGGAGGTGAAACGAAACACGTGGCAACAGTTAAATGCATGATGGCGTACTGACTCTGCCGGTAAGGGACGATGTAACCTGCATGGATTCCGTGGGGGTAGTAATGCCGTATTTTCACCTCGTCCATAGTGTCTTGCATATCTCGATGCGTTTTTAATGGAGTAGAAAGCGCATTACTGCAACCCTACAACGCCGCAAGGATTGCCTAGGAGCATTGCTTAGATCCGCACGTTAGCTGACGGAGAGATTTTGCTACGTACCGTTAACGTTTCAACATTCAATGCAAAGTAGGCCCGCTTCGCGGCATCAGAGGATTGATTGGTCAGCACCATAAGCATATGTCTAATTCTCAGCGCCATGCCCACCTTTGCTGTAATGTACAATCCGCTTGCCGCGGGCCCAACGCCGTGGACCCACAAGCCCATTACCGGAAAGGGCTTCACCAAGCCAAGGCAGCGACGCCACGACCCCCTGTACATGCTGGCGACCTGATTCCTGTGGAAAGACGTCGATTGACCTGCATACGCGGTTCCTGCTCTTTCCCTCCTCTCACCGCCCGTCCCTTACGTTGCAGCGCGCAAGCTCGCTTCAGTCGACTTCAAAGCTCAGCACCCAGATCCATCAGTCGCACATGCTGTTTCCGTGGCTCGTGTGGGCCCTTGAACCCTAACCCTTTCAGCAGATCCACAACTCTCATGGCTGACGGATGCGCAGTAACACTGGAGCTGCATGACTACCAGACTTCACTAGTCAACGCGTGTGTACAATTTTAACCCTTAAGGGCATTCGTAGCCTTAGCAAAATGAAGCGAGCTGCCACAGGCTGAAATAGCTGACTGCTTGATCCGCATGTTGGGCCAAAAATTAAGCTGGGCACGGTAGGGATGGGTACATCGATATACGACAACCACCACAAGCGCAACAAAAACGTTTCTCACGTGAGGAGGCAACAGATGGCACAAAGTTGTAAACCCACTGGATTTCCAACAACTTCACGGCAATGTGGGCAGGAACCGCACACCGCGTGCCATCGGGTGCAGGTAAGGATGGTCATCAGGGCCCTATGTTTGACTTTTGCTCAGAAGCAGCAAGAGGACCACAGCGCGGTGTCTCCATCTCCATTTGGCACCATATACTGCCCTGCACATGACCCTTAATCGTCGCCTCCGTGCAGCTAGTCACCGCTAATTCGGGTGCTAACCTCAGTCAAGTCAAGTCAGCCCTCTTGGTATGCGCACCGAGGAAGCAACCTAGTGCTCTTACACGCTTGGACACCCTTGCTTCCCTTTGCATCACTAAATACTATACAAAACACCTGTGCCTTTTTTTCAACTCCACCACGCATTTTCTTTCTTTCCCCATTGGTTATTAAGTGGTAAATGTTATCACTGCCAGAGTCCGAAACCACTGCAGCCGACTGCACACAAAACACATGCCCGTACTATGCTTCATCGCCACATCTTTCCCTTTTGCGGCTACTTAGCTAGCAAGTTATTACTTTGAAGACGTCCAGTACTCCACTGTTCCTTCGCAATAGTACGCCCAATCCGTGGCAACACGGAACCTCGTCTTGCGCGAGGAAAAAGTGACGAGGGAAGTCCGCATCCACGTGTTTCTATAAGAGATCCAGCAGGGCCTGGGGCAACGCAAACCCAGATGCTGAGCATAATGAAATCATAATCAAGAAGCCCTCTCACCCAGCACATAGCCTGACATGCCCCCTCTCAAAGCCTGACATACACCCCCTACGAGCCAAGAGGAGCAACAGAAAGCGGGCTCGCCTGTTCCAAACTTTAGTGCTACAGCCCCTAGCTTTCAGTTAGCCCAGCACAGCCTAGTTCTCGTACTAAACCAGCTGCTGCTTGATAGCTGCGTTTCAAGTCGGAAATTAGGTAACCCACAACTTGTGCATCGCATTGCGCATGGCAAAAATGTAAGTGAATCACCTACTACAAATCCAAACCAGGAAGTGTACACGTCGCCCGCCACGACGCGCACGCGGCACACGCAGCATGGAAGGCATGCAGCACACAGGATGCCAGCCGCTATAGCTGCGCCACGACACAGTGCCTCTTCCCGCCTTTGCCTCTCTCCGCAACTCAGACACCTGCAGGACCTTCCGTAATCTCGTCAGTACATCCTCACTAACGGGAACATCGTCTTCCTTTCCCAAGCTCACGAGATAGGACGCTGATAGCACAACGCAGAGGAGATCGGAGGTTGACGTGATTTGGTCGTCAACGTGATTCATGAGAAACTGCGGCCCAGAATCCACCATCCTGGCTGAATACAACTTGTACTGCCGAACACAACCCGTTCTGCAATGTGGCAGCAATTTCATGCACGACATTCTATGAAACCCGTCCTGACGGCAGAGCTTGCGAGCTGCCCGGTCTTGGTGATGTCTCTGCTGCACGCCAGCCGACCGATTGGGATGCCCCTATGTCGATGCCCCACACCAAACCCTAGAAGTCAGTCGAGAAACCCATTTGCGTGAGCACCAAGGTCCACGCAGCTGAGAAAGCCTCTTGCTCTGAGCACAAATCTCCACGCGGCTCATAGCCGTCTAAACCTGGATGGATTGTTGCCACAACCTGCGCTCCGCTAGAAATACCCCCCACCAGCCATGTTGCGATACGCCTCCTGCACGTGCAACACTTAATGTAAGAGTAGCTTGAATGAAGCTACAGATACTACTGACTGCAGTCGTAGGTCAAGCCGCTGCATTTCAAGGAACGCCCCAACTGGGGACCCTTTCACGCAGTTTACAACATGCAGCCCCAATTTACTAGCATGGCACAATAGAAGGTTGCGGTTTTAGCTTGTTTATGTGGGACTCGTCTGCTGTTGCGACTGCGACGCTTCACCTAGCCTAAGTATGTTACTTACCTCGTCAAACTTGCGCCTGTTTTGTTCTCGAAGCGTTTCGGCTATATTACGCCGTATCTCCCGAAGTCTGTGCCAGAGAACATAATACAAGCTTGACTGACCGAATAGGATCGACAGGAAGCTCACTGTCACGAGACTTACTGTGCAGTACTCCGCATCATCAGATAAAGGAATCCGAATCCGACAAGCATCAGGGCATAGAAAACTAAGAACTGCGCATTCACCGTGTAGAAGGTCAGGCGGGAAAGCAACAGGTGCGACGCGACAGCAAATAGTTGACTACAAACCTGCTGCACGACACCCTTCCCCGCCTCTCCCCAGGTCTCGGCGAGCCACTTCAGCAAGAAGACTGTGCCAGGCTGAATCTCCGTCTCGTCATCCACCTGTGCTTCGCTGATTTGCTCTAGCACTTGATCACTCATTGTAAATGATAATAACCTTTTAAGAAATGTATAACCTTGCCATTAATGTGGGTTGAGCGTCGTTACGGAGAAGTCAGTTGCAATGACTGCGCGACCGATTCATGCAAAAGCAAATCCATCAACAGTCTATAAAACCCTAATGGGAATTAAGTTCGTTTTTGATAACTTTTCTCTCGGTAGAGTCTCCATTTCTCGAGACTGTGTACGGCGTACAACAGTTACAAATATTGCTGCATACCTTCCTTACTTAAGGTCAGGGAAGCACGAGTTGGCGCTGTATCAACTGTTTGCACCTACCATGGCAACGTCGGTAACAACTCATGCACGCTCACTCTGGCGATAATGAAAAGCCAATCACCGTGTGTCCCAGATAACCATTGGCGCTGACTCCGCTGCCGTTGGTCCTGAGCTAAACCAGTCCTATCATCCTTGCGTCCCTGTCCTTATATGTTTGGCTAAGAGGCGATGACGCGTAGCGAAAAGGCTGGTTCTGTGCGACTGTCGTACGTCCTGTGCGAATGTCGTCTCTTTATAAGTTCTGCTCTCCTGTTGAAGTCATTCTGCCTTCACCCAATAGAGCTTTCAGCGTCGTCATTCGCTACTGCTCTCTCCCTTCCCGTCCTTTCATCCTGCTCTCCGTCCCTTTCCCCATTCCTCCCTCAATTTTCAAGCTCCGCGTAAGCAGCTCAGCTGCGGCTTTCTAGGGGTTGGGGCCTGAGAGCTTCTTTTTTCCTAGGCGGCTCTAGTCCTTGAGTTGTGCTCTTGCGTTGTCCTTAGCGGCTGCCTTGTCGTTGGGATGTCTTTTGTCTTCTAGGTCAACTTGCCTTTGCCGACAGTCTCCGTGCCCTAGTCTTCAGTCCGTCGTGCGTGGCTGGGTCGTGTCGCGTCTGGTGTTTGAACTTTTAGGCTTCCACCATAAGCGGTGGGTGTTGCCGCGCAGCCAGCGTGTGGCTTGGCTGTTTGTGTCCTCTGCAGTGTAATGGCCTTTGGCAGATGTTGGTTCCCGTCCCCCTCCTCGGCATGTACGGCACAGGTCACTCAGACGCGAACTCTGAACACCTAAGATCCAGGTCTGAACACCTAAGGTCCAGGTCTGAACACCTAAGATCCAGGTCATGGAGTACAGAATTGATTTCATTTAGAAGGGGAGGTAATTTCCGTTCGGAAATCCACCTGTCCACGCAGACCACAACACATTTCCGCCACACTAACAAGTGAAGATGTCAACCTCTGTGAGGCTTGAAACCACATCATCCCCGGGGGCCAGATCAAAAGGGTTCACCGCTGTATCCTTGCCCGACACGTCATCCGCCACCACCAGTAGTGGATCCACTTCCGCCGCATCCGCAACCGTCGGAGGCCCCCACCTTTGGCAACACGGTCAAGCCCCGCCTTACTGGTGAAGGAAAAAATATATTCCCGAATGTCAGTGTTTCTGACTTCTTCTTGCTCCTTTCTGTCTGAGGGCTGCAGGGAAAACCCCATTCACTCTGCGTGCATGCGTTCGTTCGTTTGTCATTTGTTATGTAAGCTTGGGCCAACTTAACCATTAACTTAGGTAAGCGAGGTTTCGGAGGAACTCGAGGGTACATCATGCGTAAGATTTCGTGAAAAGTCGCCTGCTCATAACCTAGGTGAGTCAGCTTGGTTTCGGCATGGCAAACGGATCGTGACGCATGCATAAATATGGAAGCCTACGGCTCTGCACCCGAAGAAAGAAGTGGCTATCGTTTGGATTGGATGCATGACATTTAGCATGTAGGGGTTCTGACATCCGTAGCCTACACGCTCATGTACCAACGAGTGTGGGATACTGAATGAGAATTCAGTGTTGTGATTCAGAGTTCCATTTCCGACCTTCTTACTTTCTTCGGGAACTTTCGAAAACGAGCTGTATCTGCTGGGGTTTGTACTCAAACACACGCACACACACTCTAACACACTAACACACACACTAACAAACACACTAACAAACACACTAACAAACAAACACACTAACACTAACACACAACACTAACACACGCACACACACACACACACACACACACTAACACACACACTAACACACACACACACTAACACACACACACACACTAACACACACTAACACACACACACACACTAACACACACACACACTAACACACACTCTAACACACACACTAACACACACACTAACACACACACTAACACACACACTAACACACACAAACATACACAAAGACACATTAACGAACGAGGTTCTTGTATGAAGGGTTCAGCTCCCTTGGCATCTCCCTGAGTACTCTTTGCCTGGTGTTATAGTTTCCCCGTAGCCCTCAGAAAAAAGCAAGAATAAACTCAGAAACACTATCGAGTTTCTGACCTTCTTACTCGCTCTAACTTTCTTGGGGAGCATGTACGCCCTGATCATGTGCAGCTTCACCAACCTCATCTCGGCTCTGCTCCGTTGGGTCACTAGCGTTTGGGATGGCTTCTTCCTTCCAGCTTCCATCTGCTGCCTGTCACGGCTTTTAAGTGCCATATGACACTACCATACTTCAGCCGCAATGTCCAGCAGCTTCCTAGCGCAACAATTTTTGAATCTGTGTGTGTGTGTGTGTGTTACATGGTTGGGGGGTGCGTGACCCCATACCTGTAAAACTACCCATACGAGCCGAAGGCCCAAGGGCAATACTACAACGCCTAAAAGCCACGGACAAAAAGAAAACACCGCACATCAGCCCGGACTAGCGTCCAAAGGGGGTAATTGAGTTTCGGTGAGCCCACATACGTTCCAACATCCTCGCCAGACGTGCTGGCTCCCATTTCATGGCCTCCAACATGCTTTGTTGATGATCGAATCCCTCTTCAGCACGAATATCATTATAGGCTGATGAATCTGATCGCTCAGGAGCCGAATTGACAGCGGGGCAGTATAGGCAGGCGAGGCGGGCATCCGCAGCCTTGGTGGCGGTGGTAGCACTCCGTCTCCTTGGATGCATGTATGCAAAGGCCGGGAGAAGACGATGATGCTGGTTCGGGCCAGCACCCGACAAAAGGTCGCCGATGTGTGCAACAGGTGGGAGGCCTCCGTGGTGTGACCGGAGGCTCGTCAACTCATGCGCACAGTGGCTGGCTGCAAGGACTCGGGCGGTTCACTGGTATACCACAGCAGCCGTCAGAAGCTCAGGACGAGGTGGCATTGAAAGAGGCTACTCTGCAGCGTATGGAGGCCTTGCATCACGAGCAGACACCGTCGCAGCAGCAGCAGGCGAGGGAGGCTGCACAGCAGTGCATGGAGGCTTTGCATCGCGAGCAGACCCCGGTGCAGTGGCAGCAGGCGAGGGAGGCTGCACAGCAGCACATACAACTGGGTGCTACAACTCTAACGGCAGGCCATTAGCTGTGGCAGACTCCTAGTGGCTGTGTCTGCTCGATGTGATACGACAGCGTCTCGGTGTGCCGTACTTAACATTCCTATTACAGTGTTTCTAGAGGCAGGCGGGTTGGAGCGGGAGGTAGCATTCGCGCAGGAACTGGAGAAGTTCGTCCGCAGTGAGATGCCCATGTGGCTAAGTGCCGATTGCAGCTGCATCCACAGCCGGAGCCCGGTGCAGTGGGTGCAATGGGCGGCGGTGCATGTGCTCGAGAGCTCCACATGTTAACCCACATCTCTGTTCAAAAGAGAGCTGGTAGCAGCAAAGTAAATCTTTAATGTTAACAGCTTGTATTTTAGTAAACTAAAATTACACATAAACAATGAAAAACATATTTAAATTAAATGAAATTTTATTCACAAGCTGCAAAAGTACCCTGATGGAATATTGGCAGGTTTGATGTGGAAGTGGTAGGGGCCTGCTGCAGGGGTGAAAACGTGATGTGTATGGTGGTCCGTAATTGGCGTCCTTCCGTGTAGCTCTCCGTGCACATGTCGGGCCTGAGCTGCCGTTGACCAGGTTGTAGGCCATGACAGTGACCCACGGGTGCGGACTGTTGGTGTGAAGGGGTGCCGTGTCGCCCCCTGGCCTGTGAAAGGCCACCCGTCGGACTGCTGTGAGTGGTGGCTGGCAGGTCCTAGATACTGCCAGCTCGTCCATCAGGACAGGTTACCAAGCCTTTAAAAGGCTCTGCTGTTTATCGGTAACAGCACCTCAGATTCACACGTTTACATCCAGGCAAGGGGCTATCGGTGGTAGGTCGCGGACCTAATGGTGAATGACTCTCAGTCGCATCTGCTAGGTCCCTGTGAGATAGCGTCTCACCAACAGGTTATGAGCCCCGGGTAGCGGTTCCCGGCAGTTACTATCTGTAGTTGCTTCAGCTTGAGCAGTCAGGCTCGCTAGGCAACCATTATGGGGAAGGGATGTAAGACCATCCTCCTCTCGGACGAGACACATAAACAGATCGACTAGCACCTCCGCAACACATATGAAGATATGATCCTCCGTGACGTCATCGATCTTCTACACAAGAAGCGATACAAAACCAGAAACGTACCAAGTGAATTTCTTAAAACTTGAAGTACTCCCAACCACCCACCGCACTCGTCGACATCTGTAGGGACCAAACCCACATCGGCCCCCAGGGGCCGGATCAAAAGGGTTCACCATCTCATCCTTGCCCGACACGTCATCCGCAGCCACCAATTCTGTAAGTTACATATTCCGCACGCATGCGCAAACGTTTACGTAAAAGCCGGGCGGCCCATGGGGCGGCCCACGTTTATTGATATTGATCGGGTACGGGGGAGGCCATCCTCCTCCTACCTCGTCCGCTTCAGGGTGAAGCGCCTCAGCGCGACGTACCTGGCCTCCCAGATTTCCGAGAGGTACCTGGCCAATGCCAGGGGTGGCGCCTCAGTCATAATGGTGCGCCTTAAAGACGAGGTCGTCATCGTGCTTAAGTGGTACCTTTCTTGTGTAAAACATTCCTATTGCGTGTAGGGAAGGGAGCAGGGTTCGACACCCCGTACGGGGCCCGTAAGTTTTTGGCCTTTTTTCGGTATCCCCGTCAGGGCCCGTAGGACTTTTCGGTGGCCCCCGTAAGGATTTTGGGGCGCGAAGCGCCCCGTACAGGGCCGCCCCCGGACGGGCCGAAGGCCGGTTACGGTGGCTCCCGTAAGGATTTTAAGGATTTATAAGAGGCCGTACGGGGCCCTGTAGGGGAGAGGACGGACCATATAAAGGATAAGGCCACACACTTGGCAGACATAATTCATATTGCAATATTTAACTACACTTTTCATAATACTTTTATAGCTTCTGGTCTGTAACATCCAGCGATGGCAGACAATGAGTCGTCAGGAGGTGACCAAGGGCCTCCTAATCCACCGCCCTCCAAGAAGCGCGAGAAAATAACGATTTACAGGGCAAAAAAATGCAAAGCGTCACTTTCCACAGCGTTTCAGCCAAGGACAGTGCCCCCGTAAAGGTTTTGCGGGGGTTACGGGGGCCCCCGTAAGGTTTTCGGCCGGTACAGGAGCCTGGTACGGGGGCCCCTCCGTAAGGAAAATTTGGGAGGTACGGGGGAGCCCCCAAGTTTCAGGAAGGTCAGTGTCGAACCCTGGAAGGGAGCCTATGGCCCTGCACCCGAAGAAAGAGGTGGCTATCGTTTGGATTGGATGCATGACATTTAGCATGTAGGGGTTCTGACATCCGTAGCCTACACACTCATGTACCAACGGATGTGGGTTACTGAATTCGACACTCTGTGATTCAGAGTTCCATATGTTTGGATCTTGAGCTACAAGGCCAGCACTGTGGTGGCCCATGCAGTTCACACCCCGGAGCATCATGGTCCACTGTCTTGAGCCCCACACTCCGTGGTGTTGAGCCCCAGGATACCTGTAGGGTTGCTGAGCCGTACAGTCCAGTCCCGGCTTGCGGGGGAGTGGGACAGGTTCTGCCGCCACGCAGGGCAGTTCTGAAATGTGTAGCCCTCAAAAACATAGAATTACTAGGGGGCGGCTTTTCAAAGCCGAAAAGGGGCTCGGCCCCGGTGCAGCCACTTACAGGAAAGCTATCTTCATGCTCCGATTTTTCTGTAATTTCTCCTTTGGCATTTCAATATAGAATGGATATAGCATTCAAACGCTATTTTTGCGGGGCGAGATATGTAAGCCACTGACTGACTGACTGACTGACTGACTGACTGACAGCAGTGAACCCGGGGGGCTCAGCCCCCGAATGGTGCTTCACGCCCGGGGCCTTGCCCAAAAACATAAGAAGCTGGCGCGCAGATATGAAGCAAGCCAATTTCCCAATGAAATGAAACATCAGACCAGACCAAGGAAAACAGACCAGAATGTAAGCAATCTGTCTTTGAAGTCATTGTTGATCTGGAATCGATCGTTCTGGCAATGGCCCCAATGGCCCCACGTAATGGCATGATCCTCACACTAATACGGGACAATGCATAGAGACACACAATTGCACAGAAAGATGTACGGTATACGACACCGGTATGGCACCATAACAATAGCACTCTTTGGGTTGGGGCCGTAAACATCCTGCATGATACAAGATGTTTTTGCCTCGTCTTCTAGATCCAACCTACATATGTTTACACATATCCTTTGTCCCGTTGTGTTGCAAGCACGCTCCTTTCTTCGGCCTTGGCTGTGGATGAGACACATGTACCTCAGGATGTGCGAGGCGTGTGCATTGGACCTGGGTGTGCTTAAGACTCCAAAAATAGGTTGGTGCTTGAGTGTTTGGGTAGCGGCCGGGTAGAGATAGAGATAAACAATAACTAACTCCTTGCTCTGTTTGTACATTCTTTACGAATCAATCCCCTTATTACTTCTCATGATTGCCCTTGCCCCGAAACAGCCAGGCGAGGTGCCTCCCCCACAGGAGGAGCCGGCGGATAGTTCATCAAAGTCGCCTGCCTGGGGGAGACCACGGTGTGTGACTGGTATTCGTAAACTGTCGTGCTAATGTGTGTACGGCGGGACTTGGTGGTGTTGCTAAAACCGGAGGCCCCCACGGCTGCGATTGCAGCAGAGTTGGATTTGGTACGGAACTGTCTCCCATTATAGGTGAATCAGTTGGTAGTTGATTCTTAACTGACCCATCCATGACTGTTTGCAGCCCAATATACCTTCCCCGGGGGTCGGGTTGTCTTTCGGTTTCACTTCACTAGAGAGAGTCTCTTTGACGTACATCCTTGCGGTCCATCAACCTGCTAAGGACTTCCGTTATAGCCATAGCCATAGCGACGCCGGTTACCTCGACCTTAACCCCACTTTGGCAGATTCGACCCGTATGTGGTCCCTCCAGCCGCATACCCACGTACCCTAGGAACCCCACTTCCCCCGAAGCCGTTAATGACAGCGTTGTCCTCCTCCTCCACCACCCAAGTGATTTGTTTTTCATTCAGGATGGGTCTCAATTTATTCCAACCCGAGAAACTAGGTAACAAAGTTGCTAGGGTTGTGGTAATTTATTCCTTAATTGTGAGGCGTGGGGGGGGCGGAACCCCCCAGACCCCCCCCCATAAGTTACAACTCCCCTCGTAGACCAAGAGTCATGCACTGAGTTGGCGCGTTTTCCGTCCGTGCGTGCACGCTTCGTGCACATGCGTAGATAGTTCTGGCACTGTTTGTGAGCAGTAAGTAAAATCGACCAAGCAAAGGCCCAAAGCAAGCAACCGCATAGCAAATCACTGGCCGTCACCCGCGGCTGCTCTCCAGTCATGTTTTTGACTGGAGGAATGGCAATGTACGGGTCAGCCTCAATTTATTCCTTTTTTCCAAAGGCCATAATGCTGATTTATTCCTTTTTCGGAATATATTACTTAACAAACGCTGCTCCTCCCCCTTCCCTTACTCTTTCCCTCCTCCTCCCCCTCCCCCTCCCCTTCCTTCTCCTCGGCGGCAGTACCGGTGGCGAGATCCACTGCAGTGAGCACTGGCAGCGGCTGTCACTTCTGGCTTCTGGCTTACAGGATGTGCTGGAGTTTTGGCCATTGAAAGACATAAAATGGAGATGGTTTACACAGCTCGCGCCAATGAACACATTGTCATTGTAATGTCCCATGTGAACTGGGTGACTTTTTCAGGCCCACTTTTCCCAAAAAGTTTTCACAACATAACATAGCATGTGAATCCAGTATAAGAGAGCCATAAAGCAACTTTATCAAGCTTGCTGCCGGCTATAAATACATAAGTCACGCTATCGATGACAGGAGGCCCTCAAAAGATAAGCATTGAGTACGATGTCATGCATGACATATTTGGGACCATGACAATAGTCCATGAATGACAAGTAAAGCACATAATACCCATGTGACAAAACATTCACAGAAGAAATAGACAATTCACAGGTAAAATACGTAAACATACGCACACGAGCTACATTCACATCTCGACCACAATCAATCAACAAAGTGCATGTAAGGTAACAACCAAACACCTTACACAAGTATAAGACAACACGAAATCGCATATTCATACCGATAATAACCTAAGGTGATTAAGAAGAACGGTAAAATGAACGTGACACTAAAATGTCATGACATGGAGAGCTGCAAGAGACAGAGGATGGATGGGGGTGGGGTGTGTTATGAGGTGGTGCTGAGGAAGGGGGGGACCAGCAACCCAACATGTGCAAGGAGTAGGTGGGTGGCAGTGTAAAGCTAGGGTCCCAAAAAGCCTAACCTAGGCCCAGTTATCATCATCTGAGGGTGCCTGGGGCCCAGCAGCCATGGCATTGCGTCGCTCATTAACTTTGCAAGCTGCCCTCAAGAGGGCTCCCCAGCATGGTTCGAGGTCTGCTGGGAAGACCTCGGTCTCTAGCTCCTCGATCATACACTTCTTGTGGAACAATGCCACGCTGTCCTTGTTGAGTGTCTTAAGCAGCTGCCACTCCGTGTTGCTGAGCCCGAGGCGCTGAACCGCCTCCCCAAACGCTGAGTTCAATGGCCGTGTCCAAATGCGCCCGTTGACAAAATCGGTGTACTCCTGCTGCAGGCCATCGAGGAAGATGGAGAGCGACGAGTACTTTTGCTTTAAGGCAGGGTCGCGGTCGACCATGTCATAATAGGCGAAAAGCCTAATCTCGGTGATGTGGTCCCGCATTCCCGACAGCATGATTTGCTTCCGCAGCTCACGGTGCAGCACGTCAAACTGCTCAGCATCCAGCTCGACCACGAGGGATATGAGGTTGCCGACCATGCTGCAGAGCTGTTCCAGGCTCTGATGCGATTTACCATGGCTGCAGCGCAGAAACTCCAATTTTTCTAGGCATTCATGGAGCCCTTGAGATTCGCTCTTCCCCTGAAGCTGCTGCACCGCAATCGTCAGAAGTGCTATTATTTCTGTGGCCGCCTGGTCATATTCATCTAAGTCTTGTCCAAGTTCGACTTTTTTAGCTTGGTACTTCTGGAGCTCGCGCTGTAACCGGTCTTTCAGGGCTTTGCGCTTGCTGAAAAGGTCCGTCAGCGTCTGTTGCAGGGTCATCGCTTAGCAAAGAAAATGCGTCCGTTGCGAGAAACGTTTCATACGGTTGGTAAGTTTAGCAAGTCCTAGCTACAGGCGGAAAGTCGGCCGGGGATGTCCGAAACTAAGTGAGCCCTCCCTGGCCGGCGGTTGCCACGACGGCAAGACAGTTGCTGCACAAACATGCGCTGTTCGCTATACTGAGTACATTGTCAGCACTGCGCACATAACTGCTTTCCTTCTGCACATGCAGCGCGCGGGGAGGCCGCGACATCGGCGCAACACCCTCGGCGCGCGCGACAACGCACTTGATACTAGCTATCCAGTACTTACAGTCCTTTGCACTTTAAGGGTGGCGCAATACGCTATGAGATCATCACCGCGCGTATTAGTGGGGGGTTCCGCTCCTAGGCTAGTAAGAAAGGCTAGTACCTTGCTTTCCAACACTCAGTGACGCCCTCAAGTGCCAATTCCAGGTCAGCGACAAATGCCCGGTGACACAGCGTTCCCGGCCTCTTAACCACAGAGTTCCAAAACCTAAGTACAAGATTGGTCCAATGGAACTGGAGCGGCCTCTGTGACAGCTCACGGTATAGGGAAGCCATAGTCGGGCTCCTCACCTCAACTACAGATCGCATGTATGCACGCTGCTCCTGGACCATGGGATTACTCATAGCACCTTCAAAACTCACATTTATGAAGTCAGGTCCCCAAACCTGTGCTCCATAAGAAAACACTGATACAACAAGTGTATTGTAGAGAGTCAAACAGAGCTTGGGGGTGGTAATTTTCTTATCTCTACACAGGGTGCTGAGCCCAAACGTGGCCCGCCTCCCTGCTGCGAGTAGTTGCTTGGTACATGCTGAAAACTGCACTCCCGGGCCATAGTGCACCCCGAGATACCATGCCGTCTCGTTCCCGGTCAGCAACCACAACCCCACCCCACCTAGCCGGTACTCAGCTTCCGAAAGCCGCTTCCGCTCACGTGTAGTGCCCCCAAAAATGAGGACCTCACACTTGGCGGCATTCGCGGCCATACCCGTCGCTTTGCAGTAGGCTTCGAATAGCCCCAGAAGGCATTCTGCTCTATCGTGCCCGGTCGCTACCAGTGGCAACAAAAAGTAGGTTGGTGAGTTCACCACCCGCCAGGCTACCACTCTGCTAGCGGGGGGTGCTCCATCGGCTAGGAAGGCATACACGGCAATTAGCATTGTGAGCATCAATGTAATGAGCGAATACTTCTATGAAGAGTCCAAAAAGGGTTATACACTAAGGGGGCACCCTTGCTTCACACCATGAATTCAGGTCCCAACCTATTCCTCAACTTGACCCGAACCTTCACAGCAGACGGTTCGCAGTTGCATCACATTGTATGACAAGCTGCGCAGCTTCCAAAAGGTGTCTGGCTTGACCAGCGTAAGCAAATCCACTATCCACCACTGGTGGCATGGCCTCGGGAGGCTGATGCGCCACGGTGGTGTTGCGTGAAATGGCAAACAGAAGCGGTGCGTCCCACCACAGAAATACATGAGCCTCTGCCAGGACATGTTCAGTTGAACCCACAAATGAATGCGGGTCGCCGAGGATATGCACATGCACGTATGCCCCAACAGTTGGATCCTTCATCTTCGCTGCACCGTATATGTCAGCGGCTTATATTTGGGAGGCGGTCAGCACCCTCCAACAATAAGCATTGTTCCACATTTTGAATTGTGTTGTGTTCGCACATCCATTTGCGTGCTCCATTTGAGCACGACAGCTTTATTTTGCGCCTCCATCATACATACAGTTCTGCATCATTCCACACGTGCTAAAATTAGCAAACGGGAAGCAGAGAGTGCCACAGAGTGTCGTCGGGGCGGAGAGAAACCCACGGGTCGCCAACGAATATACAGAATATACAGCTCTAACGTATACACAAAACCCTAACGAATTTACAATTCTAACACATACACATGCACACACACAGTAGCTGCGTGCACACAAAAACATCTCGCTTGCACACCACGGGTCGCCAACGAATATACAGCTCTAACGCATGCACATGCACACGCGCAGCAGCAGCTTTGCGTGGGCACAAAATCTTGCTTGCACGGCAGGCTGGGCTGTGTGTGTGTGTGTGGCTCAAAACAACCATGTTATATCTAACCAAACCACAACTGGATGGTGGCGTCGGAAGACACCAATTGGAAGAGTTTCGTCCGCTTAAATAGCGGGGAATGCAGCCATCCCATGAATCGTACAGCCAGTTCCGAAATGGCGCGGTCCAGTCCCGGAATGGCGTACCGTTGATCCATGCTTCCAATAGATGACGGGGCTCCGCGAGCCCGGGACCAGCGTCCCAGTTGTAACCTGTGCTACGACCCCGCCCATACTTCTGCAAGTATGGACTTCCGCCTGAGGCGGCGTCTACTTGTAGGCATCCATGACAGCTTCCCGCTCGCCGTCTAACCCAGAGGTCGGAGCCATAAGATCTGACAGAAAGGCGGCAAAATAGGCAGTTGGAATTCAGTTAGTTCCAGTGAACTTGTCCAGCAACCGCGCCAAGCGAGAAAGGAAAAACTAGACAGCAAAATGTATCAGTTTGGGACCAAATTTAAGAAGCGTAATACAACTGTAGAGCCCAGTATAGAGCATAGAACCCAACAACTACGAAACGTCTATACGAAGTCGTGTAGAGAACATGGACGCGGACCAGCCAGCCGAGACGGCGACGCCGGGGGAACCGCTGCACCTGCCGGGAGGCGGAAGAGGAGGAGGATTCTTCTCCGAGACGATGATGCCGGGGGAGCCGCCGCCACGGAACACGAGAAAGCCCGCCGCATGCAGGACGCTCGACGGACGTACTTCTGGGTGCGTGCCGTAGGGGCTCGCGGGCTTTTGCGGCGGCTTTTGAAAACAGTACGGCACTCTACTTTGGCGCTCCTAGATCTAGGTAGTATCCACAACAACAACAAACGAGTCACGCGCTCCTGAGGGGCACAATTTAAAATTCCTTTTTTTCCAACTCTGCACGCGGACATTTCCAACAAAAAGTCTGAACTCGTCTTTTGAGATTCAAGGAGGACCATAACAACAATAACAACAACAACAACCCACACCACAACGATGATGATGCCGCCGGACCGCTTCATCCTATAGTGATACATGCTGGCCGCTCAAGGACGTCATTGAGTGCGACGACCGCTGCAGCACATTCTTCGTGTTCGACGCTGCGCTCACCACCTGGCGCCATTGCCGCAAGGAGGACCTGCGCATGATTGTGTCGTACGCTGGCGGCTGGCAATGACGCGGCACAGTGCACGATCACGCACATGCACGCGGGATCGTGGGAGTGTGGGACATCATCCACGTGGCCGCGCGGCTGTTCATCCAGTGACAGCAGTCCAGCATGGCCGCAGCGACCAGCTAGGCAGCCTCTCCATAAGTGTGGCATAGTATGACATGGCCGGATGTGTGTTGTTGTATCACGTCTTTTTTCAGAAAAGAACCGATGACAGATCCCCTGATGTCCAGGATACTACAATGTGCCAGGGTGCCTGTCAAGCGGATGATCTGCATCTGACACAGCCACGTCGCATGTCACCATTCCGATCGGACCCATGCGCACCAGGATTGGGCAGCGGTCGCCAAGCGGTCGCCGACTTGATGGTACCATGACGTACCCTGGGCCCGAAAAGTATGCTACAGGCCTGTATCTGCGCAACACCTTTTCACACCCTGGTTTGACTCAAATTCACCTCCAGCCTTGCCATTCGTCTTGATGACCATTGTAACCTTGTCATACGCCCGCATCAGCGACCGCAGCATGGACCCTTCAACCCCTCTCCCTTGCAAACGGAGCCACATTATCTCCCGCGGCACCTTGTCAAACGCCTTCTCGAAGTCAATATGCGCAATGATTAACGGCCGCTGTCCCGGTTGGCTATGCCTAGCAGTAAGGTACTGCTTGGCAAAGAGATGATGTGTGGTACCGAATCCTCCTCTGAAACCCGCTTGGCCTCTGTGCCTAAGTGAGAGCGTCTTCCCTGTGCCAACGAGCCTATCCAGGAGGACCAGCGCGTAGCATTTCGCCAAGGCGCCCCCTACTGCTATGTCCCGGTAGTTACTCGGCATGCTGGGGTCCTCGTTCTTGTAAATTGGGGTGAGAACGGTAGTTGTAAACTGCCGTGGAAAGTCCCCAGTCGCCCTGGTATGTTCCAAACGCACGTGCAGTACCGGAACAAGCTGATTCACTTCCCCCCGTCGCCTGCCCCTACCATTACTCGACGCGGAGCCTTCCTCTTCTCGAGGCAAACGCGCATAGCGGTAACATTCCGACGGCGCTACTTCCAAACCTGGTGCCTTACTGTTGGCAGCCGGTCAACAGCACGTGCGACTTCCTCCAGCGTGAGGGGGGGTCTAGGGTTTCTGCTGCCTTCGTAGTCCTGCCCAAAACCGAGTGGGATGACCGCGATTCCTGCCCTCTTAGGTATTGCCCAAAGTTAATGAAATTCAAAAGCCGATTCGCCCCCTCGGGGCCTGTCTCTCCCATACCTGTGTTTAATAGCACAGCAAAGTGATCCCTGAAGACCTTCGTATAATCTATCTCACATCGCTCCCTCAACTTCCCTCCTAAAGCCCGCCACAAAGCTCGTTGGTCATGCCGACATTTGACCACAAAATCTCTCATCCTGTCCTCCCCATATGCCGCCTTTGCATATCCTTTTGCCCGGTTGTAATTCGTGGCAGAAAGCCTCCCATTCCGGACCCGATTTAGTACTCATACATGCGCTGCCGCGTTTGCCGCGTTTGCTGACCAAACAGTATCCCCTCCTGACGTCATGCCGGTAGGACGGTGAGAACCGAAGGCCCTCACCGTGACTTTGTACAGGGCACCTCCAATGTGTTCGACAGCTTGTGTGGTTTTGCAAACTCCACTCTGCAGATCCCGGGCCACTTGGCTTAAGGCATTCATGGTAGGGGACCCCCCCCTCAAAATATTATGTGTAATCCTGGTAACGAGCAATATCAAACTCCACCCGGGCTTTCCGGCCTTTACCGTCCCTACACCTGCCTTCGTCATCCACTGTAACATTAAGAACAAGCGTCAAAGGTCGGTGGTCGGTGGTCTCCCATCCATCCAACTCGATTAGATTTCCCACCCTCAGAAAGGTGGCGAACTGCTGAAGCACACGCGGAGTCGCTATGAACAAATCGATCATACTATCGCCTGCCTCCCCTTGGGCCTCCCGCTCAGGTTCCGCACCTACCACCAGCATCCAATAGAATCCGGATCGACGGCGGCCCAACTCCATTCCTGGTCGGCTCGCAGGTTAACTTTATCCCAGGTCACCACCGTCCATCAACTAGTGGCACTTTGCCTTCCACCATCGGAAGGATTTTCGACCCTGACAGGTCTCGAAGCGGGCCCGCGGCCAATCTCATGCGGCTCCAGGATGTTGGACACCTTTATTCAGGTCTTGCAACAGGCACATATGTGTGCGTGATGAGAGATTGGCTTTCTTCAGGAAGTCAGGCTGGAAGGGTGTTCATCACTTGAAGGCAACCACCTAAGTTTCCGTGCGCGAGTTTACTCTCAATGATCGTGTGGGAGCACAGACAGCAACGCAACGCTACCAGGAGAAATGAGCAGGAGGGCAAACTGCAGTGCAACATGCTGCTGCGGTAGCCAGAGCAGACCCAGCATCAACCACATGAGGGGGAAGTGCGAGACGCTGGGGGAGGGGGTATGAATCAGCAGCTGATCAGAAATCGTCCCGCCTGGCAACTGGCACGTGAGGAAACACAACGCCTCGTCGTGAGATATGGCATGATATGGCCAGTCAATTCCAGCCGCCCATGATCAGTGACGGCAGGCGGCGGCGGCGCACAGCGGCCGCAGACTCCATGCGGCGGCGGCGGCTGCTCTCACGCTGCGGTCCTAACGGAGCGCAAGCGGCAGATGTTGCTGGGCAGTCGAGACCGGGATATAACGGAGGGACCACAACCGCTACAACTACCAACCGCGAGAGCCCTTGCAAACACCAACCTTGAATTCGTCGCTCTTTTCGCCGCGCAGCGGCTGCAGCGGCGCTGACGGCTCCGGCAGCGGCGGCGGCCCCTCTGGGGGTAGCGGCGCCCCCTCAGGCAGCATCCCGAGGCCTGTCGCCTTTCGCCCCGCCGACGAACGCGCTGACGTCACCCTGGCGCTGTTGCCGGCACTCGCGCCGCGGGCGCTGACTGGCCGGGGCGACGGCGCCGCGCTCGCTGCGGATGATGATGCAAGCGATAGCGGCAGCGGCGGCGGCGCCGACGCCGAGCTGCCGACAGCGCTGTCCTGGTCACGCCCGCCGCTGCGTCCCCTAGATGGTCGTACATCCAAGCCGTCGTCGTCGAGGACGTCGGTGGAGCTGATCCTCGAGCCGGCGGCGGCCGCGCCAGCGCCGGCAGTGCCGTACAAGGCATCTAGCGGCGCCGACGCCTCCGCCAGGTCTTCCGTAATAGCCTCCAAGTACTCCGATGCGCCGCCCCCAGTCTCCATTGACCCGTCGCCGCCGCCAGCGCCGGCAGCGGCGCCGCTGCCGCCGCCAGACGCAGCCGCTTTGAGGCCGCTCACCGGCCGTGAGCCGCTGCCGTACAGGGCGCCCGAGGAAAGCGCCGACACCGGCCTGGACCCCGGCGGCGTGTGCAGCGGCGACGACAGCTTTTCCGCCAGGCGTTCCAACCCCATGGCGGCGTCGTACTCCGCGGCGGCGCACGCCGCCCGTTGCTCTGACGGCTCATAGGCAATCCTAATTAGACCGCTACCCTCCTTATTCTTTGGCAGCGCCGCGTAGGCGGTAGCGGAGGTGGGCCGCGAGCCGATACCGCCGCCGCCGCTGATCATTGAGACAAACGGCAGGGGCGGCTTGCCGGGAGTGCTGTACGGCGAGCCGCGGGTGGCGGCGAGCTGTTCGGATCGCTGTCGCTCCAGGGTGGCCTTGGCATCCTCCCAGTCCTGGGAAAAACGGGGGAGGACATCCACACGCACGTAGTACGGCAGTCGTACACTGGCTCTGGGCGTAACAAGGCCTTTTATAAGAGAAAATGTTGCATGTACTTAGTACTTGGTATTAATCATGATGATAACCTATGAGCCTATCAACCTTTTAAACCTACGAATCTATGATATCTGGGGAAATAACAAGTGCGAAAAACTTATCAAAACCGATCAGCTGTTGCAAGGAGGGCCTAAGGTAGGAAATCAATTCAAGAGATGGGGAGGAGGAGGACGGGGGGGAGGAGAAGGGGAGGAGGAGGACGGGGCGGAGGAGATGGGAAGGAGGAGGACGGGCTTGAAGCAATTGGCAGGTGTTTTCTAATGTGGGCCTAAGTACGGCACCTGAAAGGATAACTACCCCTGCTATCATACCCCAACACCACCACCGCCACCATTATCAGACATCACCCCCCGACCATACCAGCCCCCACACGCCCGACCGCGACTGTGGTGCGATTCTAAA